ACCTAAGCATTCAACAGCCTCCGCTGATTCCCTTGAATTCAAAATCACGCCCAAGCACTTTGTCTTGATTTATGACCTTATTCTTTGTGAGGGAGAAACACACATCAAATTTGGGAACTCTGGTCGGAATTTCTACAAACGGTTAGTTCATCCACCTGCAACGACAAGTTCTTCTTCACAATAATGGCTGGAGCACCGGAGTTCAGTATGCGCCTCATTATCTCAACCACAAAACGGAACAGTGAAGACAGAATACATCCCTGCCGCATATCACTCTGCAGTTCTCTGCGCTCCTACACAATAGTATGTTTCTTAAGAAAAAAGCACATAATATTGATAGGATTCTGTCATAGATTCAGTTGTTCAAGAGCATTAACGAAGAACACAATGATCGAAAGAATTGGACGTGCAGCGCGCATCAGGGACCATATGTGATATGTGCTATTCGTTTGAGTGTCGTTTCCCTAGCAAATGAGAGAATGCGAATGTAATCCTCGCTCTCTTCTTTGTAAGAATACTGTTTGACGCTCTCGAGTCAATGTGTCACAGGAACACAGGAAACAAGTGGAGCAAAATTACTGTCCCATTACGGATCAAGCTGACATCTTTGAAAATGCCACATCTATAAAAAGACCCCCTAAAAACTTGGTGTTTCCTGGCTAATCCCGGTTGATGGGAGCACACAAATGAACCACACATCAAGCAAAACCTTCACCGCTATCCTCAGCCAGAACGGGTGGGTGATTCGTTAGGTCAAACAGCTTGGAATATACTGAAGCCATCCGAACTTTCATGTTCACCACTCGACACTCCGTTCCTGGCCAGAAAATGCAGACGAGTTTTACCATAAGTGGGCCCTACGGTTTATGGAACCTGTAGCGAACTTCAACACACCAGGTCAAGTTGTATTCATGTTCGCGCTAGTGTCAAACACGAAGGGACACCCCTCTCTTCACACTGCGCACAATAAATAGGCATACAACTCGGTCCAACGACGCACACACACGCACACAACAGGAAGTCCACCGAGCTCCACCAGTCTCCACGGCTCACTACGGAACACGTGTAGCAGTTATACTGCAGAGAAGACAGGTCCCGCGTCCGGAACTTCACTCAGGAGCACTCAACAGTTGTCGCTTTTTGGCTTATTCCACTTTTAGCATTGTGTCTATTTTTATCAAGCGCACACGACTAGTGTAATCATCATCATCCTGGTTAGTGGTTGTCACTTTCTGATAATCAACCTAATTACGTTAAAACCAGGGCATTAACAAATCTATTGTTCCACCTGAATCCAAACTACACACCGTGGTCTATCCAGATATACAGATTTCTGCTGCGGATCGCAACTATCAAATAAAACGAGATTGAAGGCCTTTGGAATCTCTGATCACTTGCAGATGGTAAATACAGCAGAAGAATCACAATGATACACTCAGTCGTGTCAAGCAAGATGGGATCCCATTGCCTAGGCTAAAACAAACAAACACCTAAAATTCCAAGGCGCCTCAACCATCCCTTCACTGGAACAGACAAAACTAGACTGAAAAGGGTAACAATTTATGTATCGAGTTTCATCTGAGAGATATCGAAAATCAAAAACAGAGCGAAATACGGTAAAGAATGAAAGGCTCTGAGAACAATAACTCAAAAGAACGTGATTCCAAAAGTCCCACGGAAAATGTGGAGTACATCACTTGTTTTTGGTCACTGTCTAGTAAAAAGTCAAGCCGAATACTCCTTGTCCGAAAACCAACCCATCTCATGCGAGAACTTCCTAAAGGAAATTATGGGGTAACAATGAGCGCGTAGGACAACTTCAGGATGAACAGATCATTGCACAGGCAAGCAATGCACAGGTGCATAAAGGGTAACAGATGCGAGATAGTCATTCGCCGGAATAACCTGTAAAGAGATGAAAATAAACTATGCATAAGCTTTACAGTATTAAATACGGCGTATGACATTCCCACTTATTTATGGAAAAACAGTACGTGACACTTGAAATGGAGTGTCCAAGCACACGGCATGAGCAAAAAAGGACCCGGAGTTAGAACATCGACCTCTTGCCCACCGAATGATTCTTGTGCCAACTGAGCTGCGGAAGCTGGTCCTCCGTTACACTCAAATACTTGAACTTCACACACGACCATGCATACCAATATCTAACGGATTAAGAGTTAGTATTAGTATTAGTATTAGTATTTTGTATGACTTTCACAATGAATTAAAGCGGACACGTACATTCCCACAACAGGATGCACATAAAGCCTTTGTGAGTGACAGTAATTTAGAAGAGACATCCTTCATCGCCAAACACTTCAACAGTTTCCGACAAACGAGGGAGTCAAAAGCAGATATGAGATCGAGAAACACGACCATTATTGGCAATCGGAAGGAGTGGCGCAGTTCCAAAACTTGCTGAAAGGTGAAAATAAGGATCGATGCGACTCCGGTCAGGGCGAAACCTAGCTTGATCCTTAAGAATCTGATTCTTCCAATGATGGATCGACCTGCCCAGGATAACCCAGAAAAACACTTTGGAAGCTATAATCACTAGGCTGATACCCCGGCGGTTTTTGCACGGTATTCTTGCATCCTTCTTGAATGATGGAATCACCGTCGAGGAGCTCTATTCTGTTGGGATTATTTCCCACATGTCGGATATTTTGGAGTATGGTCATCAGATTATCCATGACGGACTAGTCTCCTTTGAAAAGTGCAAACCGTCTGCTCCAATTGGTCTGTTGCACTTAAACAATGAGATGGCACGTTGGACTGCTATCGTCTATGGCGGACTGGTGAGGATGTTCTACTCAGGTTTATTTAGTCCTTCTAGAAGTGAGTTGATGGAGCCCAGCTTAACTGTTCTACGAAGTGTTTATCGAATCGTTTGAGAAGACGTTTCTGTTAATATGCTGAAGTCCCATCTTTTTCAGAGACGGCTCTACTAACATCCACCCCCCTTGGGCAAGTTGATCGGAGTTTCTGGAATATGGTGCGATTAGTCCCCGTTGCAAAAGCCTTCTCAAGTTCCCGGACTTTTGTGATTCAACAGCGCTCTCCTTTAATTATCAGGCTCTTCACTATTCGGTGTTTGAGGGGTCTGCGCGTTGTCACAGTCTTTTGTTGCTGCAATATTTTTCCCGGCTTCAATCTGAGCTGTTGATCGTGACGAGATCCAGTGTTCATTGAAGTATATGAGTGACCTCTAGCAGACGATTTCAAAACGCTGTAACCATGGCCTCTTCCACCCTTCTCCAGTACTCATCCAAATCACCATTGCAAACATCGAGTTCTGGGAGCTTCTCAGTCAACTCAAATGGGTGTTGTTGAGCTAAAGAGACGCTTTCCAAACGGCGAACTGAGTGCCTTTGCATCAACCGACGTGTGCCAGAGGGAAAGCGAATCGCTATACGTACCGACACAATGTTGTGATCGCAGTCTAGACGTGTACTCAAGAACGGATGACAATCTTTTATCTAGTAACCAGTAACTGACGGACACAAGGTTCAAATGAGTCCATAACTAGGTTGCACTTTGTGGCATACAAGTCATACGGGATGATCGCTGTATTGGAAGTTAATGTTGGCTAAAACAAGTGACGATTAGCACATTACTGAAGAAGTCTCTCCCCATTATCTCTGAATCGGCTGCCAAGATGGGCTTCACCACAGCTTAGTTATCCGGCCTGGAGATTCCATTCACCTGCCAGTACCTCTCGCTGACCGGAGTAAACGTGACTAATCACGACAGAACCCGTAGTTCTCACACAAAGAGTTATCATCCGTCGAAGTGTACTCTGGCACAACAAACAAACAACCTCTACCACGTCCAGATACACTGACTTTGATTGAACCAGCCAACCCAATAACATAAAGAGGACTAGTTACTGGATTCCGGTCCAACGATGCGCATTCAGTCGCAGGGCTAAGCACAATAGATAACACAAGCCAGGGCAACAGGATCACCAGACACGCTAAGAGTAAAGTGTGACAGATCTGGGTTCGCTCCGACCAGCTTCAGATCTGTGACCGAAACTGGGATTTGTATGCACGCTTTAAAGACACAGTGTACACCGATCCAAAGAGAGAACAAGGCCTGAGCAAGAGATACCGGATAATAAAGAGCTACCTATTATTGACTTTCTCACTCACTTCGAATTAAGAGTAAAGTGTGACAGATCTGGGTTCGCTCCGACCAGCTTCAGATCTGTGACCGAAACTGGGATTTGTATGCACGCTTTAAAGACACAGTGTACACCGATCCAAAGAGAGAACAAGGCCTGAGCAAGAGATACCGGATAATAAAGAGCTACCTATTATTGACTTTCTCACTTCACTTCGAATCAATCGACCCGCCATGATTCAGTAGCCTGTTCGAATTTATAAATGAGAATATGCTTGTTGGAACGTGTTGTATAAACTTGACTAACCTGACTAACCTGGATATACACAGAGTAGTTTGGCAAGAAATGACTCATTTTCTCATTTTAGTGATTCATTCGATCGGTGGCTTACTCGCATAAGAAGACGACGTGACATTCCTTCGTAGTCCAAGGAAAAAATCCTAAGCACAAGCCACGAACGATGTGACATTGCTAGTATTGAAACAGATATCACGGCTGCGCATACAGGCCGATGTGTTTCTGTCAACTAAGTAAGATCGTCCTTTGATTGGGAAGCGGTCGACCAAGCAAAGTCGGCTGAAGAAATAATTGGACCAGTACACCTGTGGAAAAACGCGCTATTTCAATTTTCCATAAGCTGGCTACTGGTAATTTAGAAGTAGGCGGAATTCAGCCAGAATCAAACTGTCCAAACAAACTCACTAGCCATAGTGGTTTATGGCACAATGGACATGCGAGATCCACGGATTTTTATAAACACCAAAAAATATGAGATCGATATAGCGGTCTTCTCAATAGGAAATGCAATCGACTGCTTGAATATGCGGGCTAAGAAAAAGGTATTTATTGAAATTTATGAAGGCTGCGTTACCTCAAAAATAATGTCGTAGTATCCGAAAGCATGAGTGGGACCAAATGGATTCTTCTGAGGCTTCGCCTCACGATGGATCACCACCGGCTCAACGTCAACCAGATGCTCGATTCTCTGTCGAATAGCGAACCACTGTGAAAAGGGTAGTATGGGATATGGTGTACAGCATTCAGCAAACACAAAAACACTCACCTTCGGCATTAAATTACACATAGCCAAAACCAACGACCGTATAACACAATCGATCAATACAGATGATTCGCTGTCCCACAAGCATGTTTTATCTGAAAGCCTCATTATGAAGAAGAGAGTAGAAGTTGGTTGGGAAGGCGCTTAGTTCTAGCCTAACATAATCATCCAGAGGTGCCTACGCCTCATCCAGATAGAAACTGAAAACAAGAACGCCACTGACACCTATTAGCAGCCATGTCCTACAGCGTCTCCAACCATGCACATGAGTGATCACGCGGACCCCACTCTGTAAGGCAAGTCACACCGACAGAACCCAAAGACTTGGTATTCTCTTTCATACCTCTATATCATGTCAAAGGTTGGTCTCTATTTGCGCCACTCTGGAAATGGCATGGAGAACAACACTCATCGCCAAACGACGGCTCAAAATCCGAAACATATGCTCTAAACAATGCAGCATATGATGCATAATACAATGTTCGACTGAAATACCCGGTGCACGACGGAGAGCTCGCCTTCTAATAGCCTCGATGGGGATTTGCCGACATTAGCCTATACCAGCTATTGTTCTAAGAGACGACGGTGATCGAATACCTGAATATGTCACACTTCCGTTGCTTGAATAAGCCAAGTCTCACAGCCATACAGTGAAACAGCCCGCACTCTAGCCTGATACACACGTCCCTTGAGATTCAGAGTTATATCGCTATGATGCCATAGATGCCCCAAATTAGGAAACGCGATCCCAAACGTAGATTGGTTAATTAGCACTATCTGTCACATTACAATAGGAACTAATACAACATACAAGATACGTGAAACGCTGCACAACTTCGAGTGCCTCTCCCAGGACTGTCGGTGGCGTGACTGCATGTCCATGACCTTACACTTCGTGAGTGCGAAGCGTACGTCAAAGGACGAAATGACTTTGTCGGTACATCCCAAAACACTTGCATCTTCTTCTCTTCGAAGACGAGAATGAAGTCATCTGCATATTCCAGATCGACAAGGTTTCCGTCGGCAGCTACTTGAACACCACGGTCTCAAAGACCTTGCAAAGAGAGCCTTACGAGACAAACAGTCCTCTGGCCAATGAAACGCATGGCCTAACCAGCACAACCTTTGAAGTTTCCCTCGGGAAAGCTGATCACCGGTCTGCAGTAACAGCTCTGAATAAATAGTCAAGTTTTCGCAGGCGAAACAATTGTGAAGCAAGCCTGTAATGTGATTTTGAGCAAAGGACATACTGTACATCAAGCGTATTGCAGCAACCGAACGCTTGTAATTGAAAATATAAAATTCGCATAACCATTCTATACTTCCCTTTTATTTCAAAAAACCCCCACAGAACCGTTGTTACGACGATGCAAAACAGAACCCTCGGCTATGCGAATAGTCACACAGTCGGGTTGTGGATTCCTTCAGCGTATACTAGCCGTATGCGCAAGGTTATAAATACTACTAGTGCCCAGGATTCGGCAAGGCCAATCTGCGTGGTATGAGCTGAATAAGTCTGCTCCCTCATTCAAACGATCAAGTCTTACGCACAGTTTGGCCTCCAACTGGCCCTGAAACCCTGAAAAATAGGCCTCTAATCCACAGCCCATCAGGTAGTTGGGACCCTTAAGTTTGGAGAAAATCTACTCTATAAGTACATTTAAACCCACCTTTACAAAGGGTGTAACAACGAACTCATCGATCTGAGCCGATGGAACTTCAGATCCTGTGAACGCCTCATCAGGAGCGCTGGACAAATCCTTCGATGATTTGGAATCCGTCACCGAGGAATTCGAAAGTGGTAATTCGAATAGGCACCGATGATAGCTGTGACAAGGGAACACAACAGTGACGTGCTTCAGGACGTACTACACATGGATAAAGTGTGATGGTGACAGAGGCGGATGGGGGTAAAATTCAAAGACTGAACGAAGATTCAACTGTCAACGTAGAACAAGAGAACCGTGCAGAGACACTGAGAACTACGTGACCCACGAGTACGCTATAAGCCAGTACATCATCATCACCCTCATCATTCACAGAATATCAGTGTGGGAATGCTGGTTGCTAACATCTCTGGCACCAACACCGTTTATTAATTGCTTAAATCTTCGTTGTGGAGTAATCTGTAGTCGAAAACACACTGCTCAAAGCTGACGGCAGTGTTGCGAAATAGACACCTGCGATGGCAAGCTAATAATTCGCCCCCAATATACTCATGCCCCCGACAAGCAACTAACTTGCAAGAGAGTTAGACTGAAAAAGGACGTAGTCTTCAGTCAACATAGTAGACACCGATGATGAGTAGCATTATGCTGTTAAAAAGAGAAGGACTGTTAGTTCTAAAGGAAGGTAAAAAGCAAGCCGGTGATCAACATACATCCACAGCCAACGATCACTCGCAACCGTTGCAGCAAGCGGGTATGTGATCACCAAATTAGGGAACCATGTTCACCAAAAATCCACACAGGTTAAGTAGCCTGGAAGTGAGTTGCATGCTTGAGCGGGTGTCTAAACTATATCAGCCCTAATGGATGTTCACATCACAAACCTACAGCCCCGGTACTCTGTAGTCCTCAAAGCAAACTAGGACAATTTCATGCAAGATTCTGACCCACCTCATTCCGCCACCTCTCAACAGGCGAATGGACTTTACCTCTCCACTGGAACGCGGCGTCCCAACTTTCGTGCGCGAAGGCCGTATTAAATGACCCTGTGAGCAACGTTACCGATGAATTTCGGATATCAAGGAGCTAGTTAGCCCTACCGCGGAAGTGAGGTAATTCTGAACATTGTGGTTTTCCAGGTTGCTTACTGAAACTAGTGTAACTATCAGCCTGTCGTGCATTTCGACACCCTCAACGAGAAGAAACATCTATGTATGACCCGTGCTGCGAGAAAAAGACCCCGAAAATGTCTACTCGCTATCCGTTCTTTGGATGAAACACTTAACTCAAAATGCCAACTTAAACCACATGCAATCTTAGAATCTTAGCCTGTATGTGCATTTCATACAGAGTTGTGTAGTTTCGATAATGGTTTCAAACACATCACAAAACACATGAAAATTCCAAACCTACGCATTGAATGAGTACTCGCCAGGCTGGTTAGTATGCAGGACAAACTTGGTGACCTGATGATAACGAGCATCGAACAAGATATCAACACCAAGTGTGAAGTAGTTGAAGAAGTAATCGGATCGCCGTGGGTGCTCCAACCGATAGGATTGAGGCAAGTGAATTTTCATTTTGTCTTCGGTCTTGTAGAATACTCGACTGGGTGATCCGAGAGCAGCAAGAACATCCTGAAATACATATGTGAATCACCTGTTAAACACATGTTAAATGGTGTCAAAGACACACCGAGGAACCGTGTGGGTCACCCTCTGTCGGAACAATACGTCATGAACACAGTCCCCGAATTTTACGAGGTTGTTAAACACAGAGTGTTTATCCGGTTACGTGATGCTGAGATCACATGATAAAGAAGGCAGCGTGGACATGTCGATTGTGATCCTCAGGTGTGTGGCTGTACTAACGGATGCGTACGGTACCATAGTGCTTATCACAAGATGTTCTGAAATGATGTTTCGGAAATGCCATTATCTGCAGTGTCCACTAATCGTAGCCAGGCGGTATTCTATTTATGGCTGTCATCCTTCATTTACGAGTTGCACTGGAGATGGGGGAAGAGCTAAGCACTTGGAACTACAGCTGATGTACGGGTTTTGCAAAGCAGGCAACGGTATTATACCCACTGTCTTGCTATTCGCGCGAGTATGAAGCTAGTAGCTAAGGCACACAGGCGTCATTTGGTGAGAGATTGGGCCGTATCTGACGATATTTATAACCACTGTTTTATCCTGTCTTCTAGTTTCCACCCTGGAAGACGCCGGCTGCCAGGCGGAAAATAGACTGATGGATGTGACCTTTATGTTCCCCGACGCTTCAGAGTTCGCTTCGATCTGGGGCAGCGTTATGCAAAAAGGAAGGTCGGTTCGTCATCAGTCGATGACATCATCAACTGGTCTAATAAAAGTGAGTTCCTGCATCCGAAAAAACAGTTGGCGTACCTCAGTATTTTCGAGCTGATGACCTATTCGAATTAGCTCCATGGTTATTAAACCAGGTGCGTTCTATTTACAGGTAATGACAGATAGGGTCAGTCCACCGAGATACGGTGAAAAACCCGACCACTGGTTTCGAAAGGTATTCTGTCTTACTGGGTTCACAGAACTCCGCAAACTACTAAGAGGGAACCAGGTAATTTATCATAAAATACGTCAGGACATATTATCCACAAATACATTTTTGTGTAATATACATTCTTTAAAAAAATTCTGCGGAGATATTCCTCCACAAGTATCATCATGAGATGAGCAGAACATCCGAAAAACACGAATGCGCAAAATTATATGGATGACCACACTCGCCACTCAACCATTCGGAAAGCGATACACTGCCAACTCAAACAAAACCAGAAACAGAGGCTACCTGTAAAAAAGTGAGATCCAATTTAGCTAGGAAGACAGTCGAAGATTTCGGGGACTCAATCAATACCGCGTTGTTCCATCCAACGTTCCAGCCTCGACACCTTTCAATTATGACGGGTTACAACAAACTATACCGTTTATATGTTATAGTATGAACAATGGTGAGTCTCCTAATTTCGACGCAGAGCTTATCGGAAAAGCGTATGGAATTGACCTTGAAAGGTGGCAGTCCAATAGTTAATTTGGGTCAACAGCATAGAGCATTTTCATCGCAGTGTTTCCACCTTAGGAAGAAATAGGGAAATCTGCATCTCATTTCACTTCAAGCTCTTGGGTTTTTTCGAGGAAATACTGCAAACAAGAAGAGTTCCGTACTTGAAAAATCGTACCCCCGACAGGCGCTTCTATGTTGGCAGGAGTACTGGTTTATCAAAACACAGCAAACTGAAAGTGACAAAATTAACTTACTCAAGAAATCTGAGAAAGTCGTTTGGCACTAACCTTTACTGAGCTCTAACAAACCTGACTGTATGACACTATGCGAATACGTAAAATTTCAGAGGGTAACGTAGCTCTGGAGTTCGCCATGAACTATCGAAACCACAACCGTTTGGATTGTTTGGAGGACTCGGGGAATAGGTAGGGTAGTTAAGACGACACGTAGACCTAAAATCTCATCGACCTTCAATTTTTCACTACAGTGATTACGGACAAAGGCTGCTGACACTGGAGAAGACCCTAAAGTCAACAGTACTTCTCGAACTAAATAAAGATAAAGCTACCGGCGCAACACTTCACAAAACCAATGAAACAACGCAACCACACCCCTCGTTATGCTACCCTTTTCCAAAATTTGTCAGCAGTTTTGACAAGGAGCTTCGCAAAGTTCGACCTCGTTCCAATGCACTCGTTTTCCGTCACTTCTTCGAAAGACTAAAGACAAATGCAGAAATGGGCTGAACTGTGGTGTGCACTGGTCACATAGGCGGTTCCAACGATATACCGGAGATATGTTGATTTAAGGAATGGAATGGGCTGACCATTCACAAAGTAACGGTCTATTCATACTTGTTCACTAGAAGACAGGTCTCAACCTTACCAATCTAATAGTATAAACTAGTGGCGCAGGTGAGTGCGACGATATTCACATGCAGTCGCTTGAATTCACAAACAGAAGCAACGTCAGTACAAACCATAATTAATTCTAATCGGTCAATACTTTTAGGCCACCTGATTCAGCGCCGCTCACTATTTCGGTCAACCGGAACCACTACCCACAGGATTTTAAGTTAATCGGGTAGCAGCCTGGATTTTGATACCTAGATAATTTATGAGGTTTAATTTCGAAGAAACCCCCCATCATGCACACTGCTGACCGGCCGACGGTACCAACAGTATGTAAATGGAAGGTACTTCATACTGACTACAACTTGATCAACGAGATATACAACCGTTGTATGTTTTAATGAATCAGAGTTATTATGGCATATCTCATGGGATGGAAGTGCTCGCTACTCAACATCATCTTCACTGTCATCAGGAGCAGAGCAGCACTGAAAACCGACGTGTCAGCATCGTATAGGCTTTGTTTGTTTGAAGACCTTAGTTTGTCAGAAGAGGAAAGAGAAGGGACCAAGTAGTGCGAAAAGCCGCACTTCCAGACAAACAATCCGGATACAAACTAATTGTATAAACCTTATTGATAGTTTAATAGCCCACTCTTCAAGAAGATGAAAGATCACGCCAATCTCAATCCAAAGAGCGCATCACACCAAAATTGCCCGAAAGTTAGATAACCGTTTTTATAACTTTCTGTTAGGCCCTGCGTTCATCATTTCTCCGCTTGCACACTCTCGCAAGGCTGGTAGCAGTGTTGCTGACTGACGAAGAATTGGTATGGGCACTACTACCCTGAGACTGCAGCTTGTATTACCGGAGATATTTGTCAGTCCAGCCCGCTGCTGCACACTACGTGTTCCCCAAATTTCGTGTTGTGAAATTCTTGAGTGGCACTAACTAGCTATAGTTGTGAGCGAATGGTTACCAAAGAACTGAAAGATTGGTATGCATAAAAATCATATCTACTACCCTCCATTAGAAAGCTACACACATTTAGGTGTCTAATAATTAAGTCATCTAGGTTGACGAGGCTACTTTGGTAGAAATCCAAAACACACGAAGAAATAGGGGTGGCTTTGGTAATACTTCGCCAGTTGTTTCAGTCACAGACCACAGTCACCATTTGGCCCGCAAACTATAAGTATCGCTTAGCTCGTACTTGACTGTAGACGAGATACCGATGACATGCTGATGAAAAGTGTACTTAGTTATGTCCCATGACCTAACACCCATGACCTAACCTCGAGGAAGTGACCAGAGTGACGGTTCAATACAGCCATTATTGCTATCACTTCCATTCGAGTTTATTGTCCGGCTACTACCCGACGGAAGAAGCGGCTTAATTGCTGCCAATTGCCCCAATCCTAACAATCTGAAAGCGCTCAGGTGACGAGGGTAGACTATGTTTTTTATGGATTTTGAAAAATTCTTACTACCGGGCAAAATTAATCACTTCCAAAATGACGGCCAGACATAAAGGACGGTTATCACGGAGACAAATAGTGCAAATGATGACAGGGGCATCATATCTTCGTCGTTCGTCGGCCAGATGACAGCAAAATGTATTAATGACATTGCCTACCTGCACTGAGGCTCCAAACGACAAAACGCGAGTAAATCGGCGAATCTGAGGATCTAGCGTCAGGCTAGTGTGCAAATCTGTAAGTGAAACGAAAAATGTCAGAGAAGAGCACAGAAAAACAGCAGACAACAAAACCGCAGATAGTGGCATACCATCACCACCCGTCAAACAACCAAAAAATTTTGAAGAAAGAGAACAATTGAACCGGGTCCACTTTGGACCTGACGAAAAATTGTCGTTTCATTTAAAGGTGACTGGATATATATCTGGATAGCCAAAAGGCCGCTAAAGTTGACTGAAGCACTTCCAAGAAAAAGGAAAGTGGCTTTATTAAGGCACTAATTAAATATGAGTCATATCCATAATGTGGATTTTTTAACTGCTATAGACTATCCAATTGTGAGTGTCCCATTCGGAATCCGACATGGAAGACAGTGAAGCAACAGGAGCCCAAACTATCCCGCTAACACGTCCCTTCCTTATGAAGTCCCGAAGTATTATCCAATTCCAAGTTGTATAAGCTCAGGTTCCGAATCATCGGTTATCAAATGTGGGTCAAATTCTTAACCTAAATAAAATCACCAGGAAAGGACGTCCCAGAAAAACTGGAATGAAAGATTGAGTCGGGACAAGGTTTGGAAAGCTGGAGAAGAAAGTCCAAAACAACCCGCCCATGCCTTCGAGCAACACTAAACGAACACATCTGAGTATCATGTCGGATAAGTACGCCACCAGTAAGATTGAACAGCACTCTTACAGATAGTTCTGCTGAAGAGCTAGAGCACCAGGCACGGCTGCACGCCATGCTTTGCACGGTTTTTAGTCACGTATGTGGAGATACACCATGACCCGTTTCCCACGAACGCTTCGTCAATAAGCGTCTGGCGTAAACAAGGGTACTTTTTTGTATGCGTAGCGTGTGTGAAACAAGCCAACCTGCTCAGCTTTAGTTGCCTGAATTACTAGCACTCCCTATTCACGCTGTTACGAAGACACTGACAACCATTTTTCGAAAATGTTTAAGGTCCGCGGACTGTTTTGCAAACACATACGGAAAACACAAGCGAGTATTATAGTCAAGAAAATATATAAACCGACATTCATTCCGTCATCTGAACAGTATTAAAAACCGGTTTAGTTAGTCATAAATACGTAATGAAAATGTTTTTCATTACACAGCGGATATATCAAATGTAGTGTGTAGCCACAACTATTTGCAGCATGAACAACGCCTAAACTCTTTCATCTCTTTTGGACTTACCACTAAGAATATATTTAAATGGGAGGGTTTACAAAATTTAAAATTCCTAAAAGTCTATGTTCCCTTCTAACCTACTAAATGTAAGGTTCAGGAAACCAAAGTTTGTGAACTGATGTAGACCGAACAGTAACTGATATAGCCAATGGAGCTGGCGAACAGGTTGTGCTGGCTAAAACACTCATGGTATGTAAGGCAAACGTCATTCAAGCTGATGGAGCATGTACACACAAAGTCCGCATGAGCTGTTCCCTTTGTAGATGCGAGGCCTAGCTCCTCCGAATACTAAAACTCCTGCTGATGTCTGACCGCTGCTGTTTCCGTTGCATCGTTGACTGGAAGCAACCAGTCCAGAATGTGTTGAATAAATCTCATTAGAGACGAATATAAAGCTCAAATGAGGCACTCAGTAATCATGAGTATCCATCGTATCCCATTTTGGTCCTAGTTAAGAACAGACTCGCCAAGTAAAAAAAAGGCTACGACCACACTGGGTGAATTAAGATTATCGGGCCTCTCTGGCGGGGGTCCAGATGACTGGTGGCGAATGACCAGTGAAGTTTCAAATTACCCTATTAATGCCACCCTATTCTAACCAGCCGTTTATCAACGTGTAAGCATCTTGGTTTTGGTTCTTCACTACATGGAGTGTTGGACTAGCCCCCCCCCACACACACACACACACACTTTGACCTTGTTCCTCATATCAGCCTAACGCATGCTTTCGGCGTTTCAATCCCTGTTTACCGGTAGATCCGTGTCCCAAATGGCTAAACTACTTTTAGACATGAATATTCTCTCTAAAAATGTCAAACTAAGAACTTCTGTGGGAATTCTTATTCATTCAACATCAATCTGGATGGCCGATCTTCATGAGAGCTTGCCCGAAGCAGTCAACGGAGCGTCAAGCGATGGTAGTCGGTAGTATCAACCCCCCCCCCACACACACACACACACACTTTGAGCCTTGTTCCTGATGACTGGTCCTAACTGAAATAGTATCGACAGTAGGTGGTACCGAAGGGACACAAAGCGCCCATGGGTGCCCTGATAAGTGCTGACTATCGTAGCTCTTGCTCAAACACGAAGAATTTATACTCAATGTCGAAAAACAACTTAACAGACTGAACCTGGAATGGAAGGGGTGAAGACTAAACACTGGCTCCCGTGTGACCTGATACACTTACCCTGGGTGACAAGATGAAATCGAAGTTGTTCGGTGACATTCGCTGACCGGATGATCTCTAGCCGATCTAGGAACACATTATGTAGGTAACAAGCGCTTGGAAGCTCCAAAGAAACCCTGAAGTTAAATGAGTAGAAACACGCGCGTTAAGATAGCCACTGAACGGAGCAGGCGATAAACAGTGAGAGAAGGCTGCACGACCGACAACCAGTTACAAACCACCTGCGTTTTTTAGGTACCTCAAAGTTGTGTAACTTACTTGGCTTCCGTAAGGTTGTTTCCGAGATAGATAAACAGGCGCGATACGACCAAAGTAGATTGAGCATTCGCTGTGCTTAAAGAAATAAGGCTGCCTCTTGGAGTTAGGTAGAAATCGCCCGTGGAGGCATCAAGCGGTTTGAGAATGAACGTGATTCCACGATAACAGAGACGGAACTCCCCGCCGGTATCATCTGAAAATAAACATTCACATGTGATCTCCATGACCAAAATATCTTAAACATTTCTCTGCGATCTTGCAAATCGATGCGGTCAACGAATCTGGTTGTTAACCGATGGGGCCATTAACAAGTCAGCTGACGCCTATGAACTTACTATGGGTACAGAAAGCAGGAAAACCGCACACATGGCAACTGCATGCAGCATCAACACACCTTACATGTTTAAATCTATTACCCGAGTCGGAACTTGAGAACATGTACAACGGTCAGCGGAAACTTTTTGAGATTCTGCCGATGGATTGGGCGGTAAAACTAAACTGTACGCTCTGAGACGACAGCTGCTCCAGCAAGCGGCCTACAGCAAAGTCAACTCAGTATGAAAATGTATCCAGAAGTCCAATTGCGAAGAAACTACCATCAACCTCGTGGTACCGATGAGCCGATGTACTTTCAGCGATGTGGGAAGGCCAATGCCAGTAATGCTCTGTAATACTTTATTTCGTAAGGGAAAAGACTATCAACAGCAGCATTGTAGGTCATCGGAGTCGCAGAAAAATTTAACTTATGAGCCGCATAACCAAGTGGGTCGTGTACTAAATATCCCCCTGGTTGATCAGAACATACGTACAAGTGGAAAGTTATTCTCGGTTATGTCTCCACTGGCTTTGGCCGGCAAATAAACAGAAAAGGAACTAAAGAAGGTAATGGTTTCAGAGTGATAATAAGCTAATTAGCAATCAAGTCAAAGCGGTTGTTTACGGTAGCTCGATCGTACCCCAGTTATCTCGTGTCGACCGGGTTTATCATCTCCGAGTATACAGATTAGCTTTCCCACCCAAGCTGTGATCTATTCAACTGGTGGCACTAATCGATTCAGCAGTCTGACCAAGTTCCATCGATTGCTAGTGACCCAGAAGATAACTCTGGGTGAGTATTTGTGGTTGACCTAGTGACCCGACGGCATCAAACGATTAATTAATAATTAATTAACTTTCGAACTCCAGCTCAATTTTTTTAATTGGAACAAGCTGTGATCTATTCAACTGGTGGCACTAATCGATTCAGCAGTCTGACCAAGTTCCATCGATTGCTAGTGACCCAGAAGATAACTCTGGGTGAGTATTTGTGGTTGACCTAGTGACCCGACGGCATCAAACGATTAATTAATAATTAATTAACTTTCGAACTCCAGCTCAATTTTTTTTTAATTGGAATCTATTTAGGCCTCGGTGACGGGTGTCGAGTCGTACGACCAAAGTAGCTTGCGGTGCGCTCACAAGCAAACAGCGAACGGTGAACTGACGGCTTGTGTTCTAGCTTACCAGTGACCATCGGAGCACTATGGAAACAAAGTTTGTGTAGCACCTTGCGTCGGCTGTGAGAACCTTCGTTGGTTCTCAGGGCTTCGGTGCCTCTGCATGAAAAGCACAGGACGCAAGTTTTCTTTCAGAAACCCCCATATTCGTCCTTGTTCTTCTCGAAGTGTGTCAGATGAATGTACATTTCTGGCTCGGCCAAACGTCTACAAGGCCTTCGTCTAAACACCAGTTACAAATAAAACAGAGTTGTTGACGGACGAACAGTGCCATGCAGTACAGCAATAACTTGATTGTCGCAGTGTCGTACCGCAAATACATGTCTCGAAAATCCCCTATGGACTCTGCACAAACTTCTAACTTACGGTACACTCGATACAGGCGTACACCGGTTTAAACTACAGATGACATAAACCCAGTCTACGGAGCGAGTGTGTTGTGGTGGTGCTACTCTGAACTCTCGAATGAATACAATTTACATTCAAGCACATAATGGACGGAAGCAGGAAGCTTTGATGTAAAATGCGTAAGGTCGTCTAGTGGCTGCCTGATCAGAGTAAATTCTCATATGGGAGCACAATAAAGACCTTTTGACGAACGGACTACCCAGTTCAAATCCGTGTTAGAGGGTTTGAGTGCATCACCTACGATGTGCATACAAAAAAACAACACACAACAAGGCCAAAAGGTGATCCTACAAACCCATCACACAGGCTAAGCCATCGAATCCCAATTTAAAAAGCACGGTCACGTCAAGAGAACTTAGAACATATTTGAAATGAAAGGGTTTGTTCTCAGTTAAAGTGTTACCAGCAGATCCTTTACTTGACACCTTGGGCGTCCTGTTACGATGGGCCAAAAGCGAATATGTAGTTGAGGTTGTCGGAAATGTGAATACGCATATGAGCAAAATTGACCCATCTGAAACTCTTTTGGGTGATTGGCTTGGATTGCACTCCGCACGTACAACTGCTTCAGCCATGCCCTGACCACAGATGGTTTTTAATGCGGTAGTAACTTCCGAACTAACCGAAGCCGTCTGGCCAAATTGTGCCCTGATTACGGATTCGGGGACACCAGCCTACACCGCCTATGCTCCTCAGACAACCCTGGTCTGAAGGTGTCTCAGTTCTGCTGCATCTCATAGCCATAAAACAAAACAGTCCATACTGTAGTCTGATAAACAAGTCTCTTGAAATTTTGGGATATGGCCCCAGCCTTAGAAATTTGTGCAGTCAATTCATCTGCCACACCATAGCCTGAGCTCATACGTCCTCAAGGATATCCAAAACGCTTCACAACCTCGAGTGCCTCCCAGTGAATCGTAAGCAGCGTATTGAGTGGCTCCATGTCCAGGTGCATGACTTTGTACTTTGAAGATCCAAAGTGCACGTCAAAGGACTGGATAACTTTCGTCGATCTATCCAAAACTAACTATTCCTGTTCTTTTTCGAAGACGAGAACGACTGCATAATCCAGATTAACAAGGTTTTATCAGAAACTATCTGAACGTCATGGTGTCGAAGACCTTTCAGTTTTCGTGTTACTGTGACACTCATCAATAAATTGCACTCGGTCATACAGCTGAAAGCTCTTTACTGGACTGGATCTCATCAGTCGTCAACTAAGATCAATCCAGTTTGATACGGTAAACGACATGTGTTCATTGTGTCGGTATACGCCCCGACCAAACGCAGCTCTGAAGCTGGAATGGATTTTCGCAATGTCTGTCTACATGGACAACTAAGTCGAGACGCACAGCTGAGTGGAGATTTCGAGTCAATATTCAACACTCGGATAACGGAAAGTGACCTCTTTAATTGAGTGCACAACAGCATTTGCTTTTAACCAACAGAAGAGGTCGCATCGAATTATTTCGAGAACACCAACCGCAAGCCATACGTCAACTACATTGGGTCATATGGTTGTCAGTTACTCATGGACAGCCACAACTAAAGACTGTCATTCCTTCTGGGGTATGCAACTTGAATCAGGTCATGCCGTTGCAGGGACCTGATTTCCATTTTGCTTCCGCCCATGATTACGTATTCTGAAGCACAACACCTCCATGCACCAGTTTTGGTGAGTTTCAATAGCAAAACAAAATCGAACTGATCTGGTTGGAAGGCTACTAGAAACATTCAGTCATGCGGATGACAAAGACTGATTGGAGAATGAGTAGAACAAAGTGAAATGAGCTATGCACTCAGCTTTCAGAACTGTCTGTCTAAACAATCAACACTGAAATCATCAAGAAAATCAGACCTTATTGTTACTAGGAAAGCCATACCAGTAACTAGCGCCCACGATGAAGCACACAGATACTGGGTAATCAAAAGGTTGAAGAATGGGTGAGAACAGTGGTGAGTATGGAAGATTCAGGAGATGGAAGAAACTTAATATGAAGGAAATGACCGCCCCTTCATCATCATCATCATCATCATCATCATCGACAGCATGACATCAGTGTTCAACACTGATGCTTCACTACCGTACAATCGCCCCTTAATTCAGCTAATTCCGTCAACCCGCCAAAAGATGGGCGTCAGCGAAGCAGTTTACGAGAAAGAGCGGGTAGCAATTCGTTCGTGAATGGGCGTAATAATTTAAATAAAACAACCTGTGTAAAGTGCTGCTACAAGACTAGGTGAGTTGCATAAGTTCCAGAGATTTAATTGGAGACAACATCACCTTTCGGATCAAGAATACAACGACAGCTTTTGCTAAACACTGACACTCATGGCACCGTTGCGGTATCAACTTCTGTCCACGACAATGTAAACTGCAACGGCGCGGTCCACACTGCTTCATAGATCAGAAACGTGATACGTGAAGAGAAGGTACGAAAACACTCAGCGTTTGACTATCGGTGCCTCCGAAGAACTGACTGGGTCTGGTGGGGACATTGGATTAGTAATTTTGACAAGATACCCATGCTTCATAGGTTTCGCTCCTTAGGATACGTAGGTCGCATGTTAGGGGGCCATCTGCTTCGCAGATCTCCCATAGCTTAGTTCTGTACTGAATGGAAACGACTGAGAGATGGACAGTATACAACATTGCAACCAAGGATGGAAATACTAACCATTCAACTTAGCCGGGTTGACGTCTGCCAACACTCTAGATGGGGAGCCCGATACTCAACTAAGCAACTCAACTCATCATGGTTTCGTCACATGGTCAGTGGCAAGGCTGAATCAAGGCAGTTGCCTTCAATGTGTAGCCCTCCATATTCCCCTTCCTGTAAATAACTAGACTGCTTCAGAGCGGACCTACTGACCACGCCATCGTCTCCAAAGCTTGACTACACCTCTCCCACTCTCCCATTTGCCGGTGACTGAAATCGTAGCAGCCACAACCAACTTACCCTTGGTACATGGTTTATGGATGAGAATGGATGAAATGGAGGCATTTGGAAGGTCTCCTAATTGGTTAATTCCAACTCACGTTCTAGTGGAGATATCTCTTCGTTTGTTCAAGTACGAACCAATCACTATCACGTGAGAAGCCGAATTTACATCCGATTAGACTTACGTCAGTTCCAATGACAGACTTCAGCAGGTGAGAAGCATTAAAATCCGGCCGCCGAACATCCCCTGAAGGGCACTTGCCCGATCGAAGCGCTAACTGTTTCATTGATTGCAAAAGTAAAAACCGTTTTTCAATCGACAGCAGGTCATATACATCTAAAACCCATGAACACCACTTGCAGACACGACCATAAACCTACTGCGTCAACATCAACGCATCGGAAACACGAATCATAATTAACATCGTTCAAGACGACAGACACTTGACCCATTCCACGAAAATCGGTTCCCGTTATCGGGCAAGTAATTTGCAACCCTACCCGTATCATGACTACTATCTTGTATTGCTATATCTTACAGCAGGATAACACTGACATCCGGAATTCGAAATTTAATACACAGACCACGAGTCCCAATTATGGGAGTCCCATGACTAAAATCCGAACTTTTCTAGCCGAAACAAAATGGTGGGCAATTTAATCACTCCTACGATTATCAGCCGCATTTCATCTGTTCCCATTTTTAACTCAGTCATGCATTTATGTAGAATAAAATTTAATTTTAGACCTTATGTTTTCACTTTCTGAAATATCGTTCCAGCATATCTGCACAAGATAGTATGACAAACTAATTCCAGTAAACCAAATGAAACGCGAATACGAAGGACCTACGGAGTGGCTTTGTTGAACCAAATATGCGGAGTATTTCCTGTATGCTTGGAAGGACTGAGGAACTGTTGAAGTACTGTGACCTATAAAGGTGAAGGTGCTTAAGAGTGTCACTTACCAGTAACGCAACGCGATTTTGGATAGGTCAAACACCTCAATAAGCTGCAAAACATTAAGCAAACGCAATTACATACACGAAGTCTTTGGAGAAAGGGGTCAAAGTGAAATCGTAAGCCATCCCCAGGTAAAACGATGACCAAGTTAGAACTGAACGGAGACTGCAAACATTGAGGAATCATTATCGGGATGTTACTTTGTCATTGTACCAGAAGTCGACTGATCGAATAACGTTGTCATGCACCCGAAGAATGGAAATCATCTGCTGGATTGGCATGCCCAGAATGAATTCCCATGTTTTGTGACGAATCGCAAGCTCAGGTACGACCTCTACGTCCAACATCACTTGTGGACCGGTGTCAGAAAATCAATGTCTTGATATGGAAAACCTTCACTAAAAAATTCAAAAAATAAGTGAATTGTTTGAGATAATCCAAACAGATTTCGTTTGACAGGCATGTACCGTGCACGTACGCACGGCTTGTGTCGACGCGGCTTGTGGCAAGGGATAGTATGGAATAGAGATGCAGAAAACAAATAGATCAAATAAAACATGGAAAAATAGATACAACAACTCATTAGTTGTACATTGTCATGTGGGTGGATACCTCTAACCAGTGATGTAGTGGGTCTTTGATACTGCACAGCAATGGCTACTAGACTGACATCCGGTGGATGCTCTTGCACTCATTATGAATGCGGGAGTTGCCGTCAAGGCGCTCCATTCTGTCGGTACACTTTCCTCATTTCAGACTAAAGATTCCAGGGAGTATCCTAATTTGAGGACTGCAGAAAGCAAACTAGCTGGACGAGATGCTTGGGTGCGCTGAAGCGGGCTGGACTACTGTTGTAGGCCGCGCTGGACTAATGTTAACGCTCCAGTGGGTTACATTTGGTTCTTCCGGACAGCGATTTTATAGGGGCCAGCTGAAACGTTCTCCAAAGTGTTCAGCTTTTGCGAAGACGGTTCTGTTAATTGATTGGTGTCCCATCCTTTTCGGAGATAGTTCCACTAACAAACATTTGAATAAACTAGCTGGAACAGATGTGTTCTCGGTCGCAAATGCTTTCTCCAGTTCCTGGGTTTCTGTGGTCTACCGGCGCTCTCTGTCAATCCTTAGGTTTTGCATCGTTCGGCGTTTGATAGATCTGCACGCATTGTCAGTCGTTCGTTACCAGAATACTTTTTCTGGCTTTAATCTGAGCTGCCGATTGTGATGAGATCCAGCGTTTATCGAGGTGTATGGGCGAATTCCATCAGACAATTTCAAAATTTGTCGCCATTCTGCAGTATTCATCCAAATCGGCATTGCAAACATCATACACATCACGTTCTGGAAGCTTCTCAGACAACTCAATGCGATGTTTTCGGATACAGAGACGCTTTCTAAGTGGTGAACTGAATACATTTGCATCAACCGGCGTGTCCCAGAGTTAAAGCGAATAGAACCTCATGCCCACACAATACTGTGATAGGAATCCAGATCATCACTATTATCACGACCAAAGACGGTAATAAGTGTAAATACTGATGCTTCACTGCCGCAAAGCCACGAAGTTTATCAAATTTTACTTGAAGCCGTGAAAAGAGTGAATGAGGGGGGGTTGGTACCGGTCTACGTCAAGCATTCTGTGTCCACATCTCCAATCGCTCAGTCAAATAACCTGGAAAGAAACTGAAAGCACGAACGCATTGACGTCGATCAGCCACCATTACTTGCAATGCCCCCAACCAAGCGCAGGGGTCACGGGGACCCCTCATGGAGGTTGCACTGCAGCAATAACAACCAAACTCTTTATAATCTCATTCAGGCCCTTCTGTCAAGTTATACGTTGTCCACCTCGCGGTTTGCGCCATTCTGAAGGAAATACAGAAAGTGACACTATCCTCGGCATTTGTAACACATGGCCGAGTCACCATAGATGATGGTCCTGATGTTTTCAGCGATCGAAGTACCTGCCGCTCAACCAAACACGTTTTTAATTACCTTGTTACGAATCTGTTGATGTAGTCCGACACTAGCAGCGTTGTCGAGGCACTGGTGATCAAAACTCTGAAGACGCCTCAGATTACTTGCCCATAGAGGTCATGGTTCACAACCACACAGCAACACAGCCTTTGCTGTGGCCTGGTAAACGCGGCCCTCGAGACCCAGTGATCTGCCTTTTTGACGCCACAAGTGACGCACATTAGCAAACGTGATTCTGATCTTTAAGATTCCTTTAATGACTCCATCAGACAAGATGAGAAGGGGCCTGCAGAATGGCGCATGTTGATAATTATCCTTATCTTCAAGAAGGGCACGCGGACGTTGTGTGACAACCAACCATCAGCCTGTTAGCTGTGGCATCGGTGCTCCCTGGCCTTATCCTTCGAAAGTTGACTGAACACGGGGTTCGGCATGTGCATCACACCTGCAAAGTGTAAATGCTAGTGCAAGACTGGGTGGGCTCGAGCTCTAGCCTCATTATTGCAGATGAACCGACTGAGGTAGTAGACAAATTTGTTTACCTGGGTAGCTGTATCAGTCCAGGTGGTCTCGCGAAGAATGATATTTCCACCCGGATTGGGAATGCCAGAGCAGCTTTTGTGAACCTGCGTCACCTGTAGCGTAGGCGTGATATCAGCTTATCTGTCAAGGTTCGAGCTGCGGTGCGCTCCATATTACTATATGGATCAGAAACCTGGCCGCTGCGCGCCGAGGACGTCAAAAGACTTTCAATGTTTGACCATCGATGTTTGGTGGGAACACCGGATCAGCAGTGCTGGAGTACGTCAAATTGTATTCGGGAAAAATAATTCACCCTCAATAGATGAACTGATCAAACTTCATAGGTTGCGCTGGCTTAGCCATGTGCTGCGTATGCCAGTCGACCGACTTCCTCGAAGGCCTCTTTTCGCACAACCACGTGAAGGGTGGGAACAAGCCAGAGGCGGTCATACGACTTGGCAGTGGAATATAAAGGCCATTACCATCAAACTCAGCTGCGCTGTTCATTGTCGTCTTCCCCGATGAGAACCCCAAGACGGGCCATATCTATGGTTAGACATTGTCAGCCGTCACGAAGAGACTGGACCTTACCGTGGTGTGACGGTTTGCGCACCTCAGCGACCTATTGAGCTATACCGGGGAGTGTCCCCGTGACATTCACAGTCTCTCGTACCAGGTTAATCAATGGTTAGAAGTTTGACGAACACAGCCTCCTGGCTCTCCAGGTTGGGGGTTGGAACATGTGGCGTCTTGTTCCGTAGAAATTGTAATGCATTTGCATTTCCCGCCAAACACCGCTGCCTTGCGGTTGGGTTTTTGAGCCAAAGGCTTTGGTTGAGGACCATAATCATCCTCCTGTCTACGTGTGGGCGCCCTAGCAGTATCCCAGCCCTCGTACAACCATGACATTCACGACTAACAATACCCTCATGCCACATCGGCCGTCGCGTGGTGCCACCAGCCGGGTCGCCTTACTTGCTGCATACAGCAGGGCGGGTAAGCGAAAACAGGTTGCTGCTGACGCCTCCCTTCTTTCTCTTTCACATGCTTTTTCTTCCCCCTCTCCCCACCCCATTATTAACTCTCTCCATGTTGGCCCAGCACTTAAGACTGATGACTCCGTTCGTCATGTATAGGTTTTGCGTGCAGCATCTAGTCACATGGCGCCGAAATCCTCAGTTATCTCCAAAACGAGTCTTCAAGCCTCGATATCCAGTCTGTCTGGCCGCGTTTAATGTCCGCACTCTGAAGCGAGAAAGAAGAAAGAAAGCGTTCAGCTGTAGCACCCTTCCGATGCCTAGCTGCCATGCCACCCGAAGGAAGCATGAGGGCTGGGATACTGCCAGGTTGCCCAAGCCTAGACAGGGGAAGCGAGTGGCGGAGGTCGGATTCGAACCACGGACCTTCCGGTCAGTAAATTCGCGCTCTTGGGCCATCTCGCCCCATGGCCTCTGAAGCAAGCAGAACAACAAGCTGCTCTTGCACTCACACTGGACTCAGTTGGCATTGGTGTGTGCTGTGTCTCAGAAACAAGAATTCAAGATGCAAGCACAGTGATTGAGCTAGACTCCCAGTCAGTCTACACTCGCTTCTGGCTGCGCACCTCTGGTGATCCAAAGGTTGCTGCGGTGGGATGTCCAGGGGTTGGTATTGTGCCAAGTCACCGGGCGGAATATCCCTACTTGAATGTATACTTATTAATAGTTGCCTCTGTGCGGTTCGTCTGGCAACGTCTTTGAAGGAGTCTAACAAGCGGCAAGTTGATGGATGTCTGTTTATCGTGTCTGCCTATGCCCCAACTGACTGTAGCTCTGACCCCGTCAAAGACAGGTTTCACGACGCCCTGAGTGCCCTGCTGCGGCGAGCTAAAAGCTCAGACATGGTGGTGGTTGCCGGAGATATGAGTGCGCAAGTGGGCAGGCTTAGTGCATGAGACTCAATCAGGTTGACATGGACTGGACTCGGTACGTACGGACAATGGGGAACGATTGTTTCAGCTGTGTGTTGATTGCAGGCTGTTTTTATGCAGTACGAACTTCCGAAATAGCCGAAATCGTCTGGCCACTTGGTGTCCTCCAACGGCAGACCGACCACAAACTCAAATCGACCACATTGCCATCAGTATCCGATGGCGCGGATCAATAACTGACTGCCGGTCGTGAAACACATTTGTGGAATCTGACCACGCGCTCTTCCGGAGTCGCTTCGCCCTAAGTTTCCCGAGGCCGCGTAAGGTGCGGACAAATCACACGGCAACTGAAAGACTGGCAGACCCGGA